CAGAGGGATATTAGACTACAGAATAAGAAGAAAACAGTGTGACCACTGATGCAAGGCCATTTATTCCTGGCTGTGAAGATGGAGGAATGGGCCATGAGTCAGGGGATGCAGGGAATGCAGCTCCAGAAGCTGGAAAAGGCAAAAAAAAGAAAAAAAAAGCACTTTCCCTCTCTGAGTCCATTCAGGATCTTATTGCTATAAGATCAAAATACCAGAGACTGGGTAGCTTTAAAACAACAATCATTTATTTCTTACAGTTCTGAAGGCTGGGAAGTCCAATATCAAGGCATCAGCCTGGTCGCCTTCTGAGGAGGGGCCTCTTCCTGGGTCATATATGGAACCTTCTTGCCATGTCGTCTTGTAGTGAAGGGACAAGCGAGCTCCCTGGTGGCTCATTAGAAAGGAAACAATCCCATTTATGAGGGCTCCACTTGTATGAACTACGCACCTCACAGTGACCCCATCTACTAACACCATCATCTTTAGAGGTTAAGATCCAAGACATGAATTTTGGGAGAGGGGTGAACACAAATATCCCGACAACAGCGCTCCTCTAGAGCCTCTGGAGGGAGTGTAGCCCTGCCAACACCTTGATTTCAGGCCACTGAAACTTATTTCAGGCTCTGACCTCCAAACAGTAAGAGAATAAATGTGTTGATTTGATCCCCAGGTGTGCAGTAATTTGACACAGTGATCATAAGAAAGTCACACAGGCTGGCATGTAAGTCTCACATTATCAAGGGTCTCCACCTGCTGCTCCCTGCTGTGTGGTGACCATCAGCACTGCCCAGGGACAGAGATACTCTCAGGGCTGTGGTCTGTGTGGACACACCTCTTTAGGGACTCAGCACTGAAGGAGAGGACTCAAAGAATGATGTGCTGACGTAGACTGTGCTTGAACCTGGCACATCTGTCCACCCAGGACTTTGTCACCATGTGTTCATGATTGTCTTACTAGAATGTCATGTATGTGGTGTTTGACCAGACTGATAAACAGAAATTAATGCTTGACCTCCATACCCTTACTTTCTCCAAGCACAAAGCCGGTTTTCACAACTAGGGTGAAAGACAGAGAACTTGTGAGGGAGAGCTCTACAGTCCAAGAATCTCAATATATGACACCAACCAAATATCCCCAGATGATCCCTCAACTGGCATTTCCAAAGAACAAAGGGACTAATTATCCCCACTGGACAACACAAATAGATAACAAGGGTCTATTAAGGAAAAATCACCTCCCTGGATCTTGCTCAAAGGGCACTCAGGAAATTAAAACCTTTGTGGAAAAGACTAGCATGCCCATGAGAGCATTATCCTTTGTCTCAGATTCCTGACTCTTTGGTATAAGGAGTCAGGAGAATCATGGTCCCTGTCATCTCCCCAGTCCAGTACAGCTGCCCTCTCCCTCAGGGTTCTGACACACTCATGAGGTAGGTTATCACACTGTATCTCTTGCACAGTAATACACGACCATGTCCTCAGATCTCATACTGCTCAGCTCCATGTAGGCTGTTCTTGTGGACTGGTCCACGGCTACAGTGACTCTGCCCTGGAACTTTTGTGCTTAGCTTGTAACATTATATTTAGGGTAGATCTATCCCATCCAATTAAGCCCTTGTCCAGGGGTCTGTCGCACCCAGTGCATACGGTAGTAAGTGAAGGTTTATCCAGATGCCTTGCAGAAGACATTCACTGATGCCCCAGGCTTCCTTACCTCAGCCCCAGACTGCACCAGCTGGACCCGGGAGTAGACATCTGTGGAGAGGAAACACAAGTGGATGGAATCTCCCTTCACTGGCCCTGGTCTCCTCCTCACCCCAGGGACTGGGGATCCCCTTATCCCTAGCCATTGCCACCAAGAGGAGGACTCTCCAGCTCCAGTCCACAGCGAGGGCCTATGCTCTCAGGGCTTCTGCAGAGGAGGGGGTGGTTGTTGGATGATGACCTCAGAGCACTGCCATATCTATATCTGGGGTCTCAATAGACCTCAGATTATTTGCATATTCATGAGGCAGAATAATTCATAGCTGAATTCCTGGTCCAACCTGAGAATGAGCAGATGATACAGCGACCATGTTCAACAGGATGAGGAAGGTCCTAGTCTTTTTTTTTTTTTTTTAATTTTTTTGTTTATTGCAGTAACATTGGTTTATAACATTGTAAAAATTTCAGGTGTACATCATTATACTTCTATTTCTGCATAGTAGGATGTGTTTCTCCTGACATGCACAGAACTCTGTGCAGACAGAGCTCCTCCCACTAAGGAACAAGCACTCACAGGACATGCTAGTAATAGTGAGACCCCCTGAACCTGTTCTGAGTTTTGATATCTGAATGTCTTACCCTCAGGATCAGAGTATCTACAAAATTTTGAAAACCTTGAATTAATAACACCATTGTTGTTATTCTGATTGTCACTATTAAGATATCTAGATGTCATGGAAACCCCAATTTAAGGTGGTTGTCATTGCCTTATTGTGTTTGGTAAATTCTTCCAATAGAATAGGATATTTAAGGACACTTCAGCAATCCTTTAACAAACTTTATTTTAGATTCATTTTTTTGAAAAAGACAAATGTAGCATCTGAGAGGAAAACCCTCCTCAGCACCTTCTGCACTTGCTCCTGAGGCTGGAGCCCTGTGCTGGAAGGTCCTGAGCACCCTCTGCAGTCCAGCCACTGCCCTGCAGGGAGGATGATGTCTGGAGTCACAGGGAATTTTCCTCTCAGGGTCTCTCATCCAGTACTAATGACTTTGCCCAGGCTTCATAATGCTGCTGCCTGGGACACTGTGGAGACCACCAGAAATGTGAGCCTGGATCGGGGCTGAGGATAGAAAAGGACAGAGTCCCCTCTTGTCCACTTTTGAGCCTGCAGCGGGGATCCCCTGGAGACACTGCACGTCTGGGAGGTGAGATCCCTGAGAAGGTGGAGGAGGAGGAGGCTGCACCATTGTCAGCTGACTCAGGTGAGGCTGCTCTGCAGGGTCAACTGGTGGACAGGGCAGCAGCCAGCAGGTAGTGAGATCACCTCCTTGAGAGCACCCTGGCTTCTGCAGGACAGCTGGTCACTAGGACAGACTCACGCTCTGCCTGTCCTTCAGGCCCCATTCTGCTGTCTATTTTCTGCTCCTGACAACTTGCCCTGTGGTCCTCAGAGCCCAAATCCAATGTGGACTCACTACTTAGTCACCACATGGGGAGGACGGTGCTGGTTGTGCCCTGGGAGAACTCAGTGCTCTCTCTGTTGTCTCCCTTCACCAAGACCAGAGTCCTCTTCTTCCCTTGCAGTAAACGTGCTGAAGGAGCTGCTCAGGGAGCCCCATGTGGGCAGGAGGAGGCACTGCTTTGAGAACAGCACCATCCTCCCTCTACTCACAGGGACGTTTATACATTTATCAAATACTTGCCACAAATCCAAAGGCTCCAGATTGTCAGATAACCATTCCAGCCCATTTCCCTAATCCATGATCTTTGTCAAGAGCATTGGAGATGCAAAAATTTGAGGACATCAGCTAAACGTAAAAATTCCATTGATTTCAGACAAAGCTGGGTGACTCTACTGTTGATGGGGATTCAGAACAGCTTTACCAGCTCACTTGACTGGAGTGAACACTTTTTCACTGAAAAGCTTCACGACCAGGTGTGTTCAATGCTGCCAGGGACTTAGATTTACTCCTGTCCATCTGTCATGAGGTTTATTTTTGTGACAAGGTAGACATATCTGCTAGAGGGTAATCATTCCTATCACCCTTGAAATGGCTGGTAAACTCTATCTCGCTTCTGTCTGTACACAACTGGGTGTCTCTAAGAACATTCTGGACTCAGGACTCTCTCCTTTAGGTACATCATCAAGAAATGCAAACTCCATTCGGAAGCACAGAGACAGCTAGTGGGGGAAACTCAGCTCCCGGATATGCTGGGTCAGATCACAGATATGTGGGGTCGCTGGGTGACTGTGAAGATGTGGGCTCCCACCTTGTGTTTCTGTCTGAAAAGACGTAGATTGGAGATGGCAGTGAGAACTTGATATGTAAAATGTGTAACAGGAGGGCAGCGCTGTTAGATGTTGTCATCACTGCAATTACTGTTACCTCCCTGGGCACTTTCCAAGTTTTTAAGGACTTGGGCTGTTTTCTACCCGTAATGGATGTTCATCACTTCTTTCTACTCATTTTCTATAGTTGATAAGTAGAGTAAGTAGTCACACACTATATTTTGATGTTTGACTGCTGACATCTTAAGTCTCATTCCCTCCTTGTCTCCTTCTGCCCACACCTGGGAAATCTGAGAAAGCATGGGTTCTCCTTCCTTTGATGCTGGTGGGAGATTCAAACCACACAAGACCCCCTGTGAGCAGGAACCTCCCCTCCCCCACGATGAACCACAGTAAAAACCCTGAGCAAGTCTCCTTCAAGGCTCTATCAAGCATTTTCTGATGTGCTTGAGGGGGCCGCCTTGCACTCCACAGACATCTCAATAATGGAGGTGATGAAATGTTTCATATTCTCTATGTATATTTGTGTCATTCACAGCCTGAACATGCATGCCAAGTTTTGGTGCGGGTCCCTCTGCATTTGCGTGCTGTCAACTGCTATTGGTGCCATGAGCACGGTGTCGAGTCAGTGACACCACCAGGCTCTTTCTTCTCTGGCTGTGGATTCATAATGCCTATGTTGCCTGATGTCCAGCCTGCACTTTATGCTGCTGCTTGCTGGCTGGCTTGTGCAGTGAGCTGTGCTGTGCTGCATTGTTGAGTCAACAGAGCCTCATTTATAGATTTAGCTGACTTACTTCAGAAGCTTTGGTAATAACTTGGCATTTAGGCACAAGAGTGTCTGTAAGAGACTCTCTGCCATTTGTCCACATGAGAACGTTTTCCTTCTATTAAACAGACTTTTCTAATCAGAAAATACAGAGGTAAGCACAGAATCACAAATCCAGAGAGGTTGTCTTGAGGAAACTGTTATATGAAAAGGAAGTCATGGCAGGAAACCAGCCCTTAACCTCCATCTGCACCTGCCTCTGTGATGGTCATTGTGTGTAGGGCCTGAGCGCCCCCTGGTGGTCGTGAGCCCTTCCTGCAGGGAGATTTGTGTCTGGGCTCACACTGACTTCCCTTCATTGTGTATATTGCACAGTAATACACGGCCGTGTCCTCGGTTCTCAGGCTGTTTATTTGCAGATACAGCGTGTTCTTGGAGTTGTCTCTGGAGATGATGAATCGGCCCTTCACAGAGTCTGCATAGTATGTGCTACTACCATCATAAATAATACCTGAGACCCACTGTGGTCCTTTCCCTGGAGACTGGTGGACCCAGTTCATGGCATAGCTGCTGAAGGTGAATCCAGAGGCTGCACAGGAGAGTCTCAGAGACCCCCCAGGCTGCACCAAGTCTCCCCCAGATTCCACCAGCTGCACCTCACACTGGACACCTGCAAACGCAAAGACATCCTGGTCAGGAAACTCTCACACATCCACTGTTTCTCTCACTCATATCCTCTCACGTCCTCTATGCATCCTGTCCTGCTAAATTACCTCTTAAAACAGCAACAAGGAAAACCAAGCTCAGCCCAAACTCCATGCTGAACGGTATGTGTTCAGTCCTGATCACCGAATGGGAACACCTTGGAATCCCGGGACTGGGGCTCCTCTCCAGAGCTGCAGGGTCGGGGCTGGGCTGGTTTTCATCAGCAGAGCCAGGGCCCTATTTGCATATCCTCTGACTATATATGACGCTCTGGAGCTGGAGGTCAACATAAAGGGCAGAGTCCCAGAGTGTGATGTGTCCACGGGCACATATTTGGTGACAATTATCTCTGGTATCTGGACCTGTGCTCCTCAGAACTGGAAACAACTGCCCCCTATACTAACTCCTGGACATAGTTGAGTAGGCTTAGTGAGGTTTGAACTGTCCCCTCCCTGTAATGAGAACATGTATGAATTTTATTCACTCTACTATTTACCTAAGAATGTATACTGAAGCAACACAGATGCATTTTCAGAAATTCCTGAAATTCCACATTATTATCCATTTGCCTATAAGTTTTTTCCAAAACATGCTCCTTTGTTTTTACATGTAATTACTTTAGTGATGAATAATTGACATGTAGTAAACTGTACAGTACAACCATGTGCAGGTGTGATCTAAATCTACGGGCATTTTACAGACCTGGCAGCAAGGAGCACAGTAGGGACAGCCCCACCTACTTCCCCTCTACCTGGCGTCAGACCCAGTGACCCCCTTGAGGACCCTGTGGTGCAGCCCAGCTCGTTTAGGCTTGTTGTGTAAGAGACGAACAGGAAAGCAAAGAACCAACTTCCTGGCAGGGACAATGGGCCATATCACTCATATCACTAGGATCGGGCTGTGATTTCATTATGGGGAAGGAAGAATATGTTTAACTCTTTGTAAACCCACTAGAGTATCTTTCAAACTGCTCATTTTTTTTTTCCTGAAAAATATTGTCCCTGAGCTAACATCAGTGCCCATCTTCCTCCATTTTGTACTTGGGACGCTGCCACAGCATTGCTTAATGAGCGGTGCGTCATTCCACCCCCATGATTCGAACCTGCGAATCTTTGGCCCACAAAGTGGAATACACAAACTTAACCACTACGCCACTGGGGCCGGCCCCTTGTAACTTCCCAATTTTTATAACATATAGACAAATGCAAACCTGAATACATCACTGAGTGAATGATAACTAAATATATTGATGTGTGAACATAGCAAAGGGAAAATGCAAGTATATGTTTTCAGTCACCTTGTATTTAATGAAATGACCATATGCCATGGTCCTAGGATAAGAAAACTAACACCACTCCTTATTCTCCTTTCTGTCACCTACCAACTGCCAATCAATCAGAAGCTCCAACCTTTCATTATTCCAAAACAGATGCAAAATTTATTTTAAAACAGATGTCAATTCAGCACAAATACATAATCTGTCCTTACCAGGCCTGTAGTATCTCCACACCACGTCCCCCTGTGGAAATATTCCACTGCATCTTCCTCATAAGATGCTGAGGAGAAGACACCTGACCTCACCTCCATCTCCTTCAGTCCCAGACCCCAGTGTGTCCCTCTCCTGAGCCTGCAGATGCTGAGCTATGTGAGCAGCTGGGTGGAGTGAGGGGGGATGTTCTCCTCTTCGTGGGGTGGATCAGCATGAGGGTCTGGAGACAAAGATGCACCTGGAAAAGGGCCCACAGGCTGCAGACCCTGTAAGAGTGGATCCCGTGTAAATGTTGACATTGGTGCCCTCGCCCCTGAGTGTGCTCTGGCTCCCTGAACTTCAAGAAGACCAACAGGACTGAAGTGTTGAGACCATCCTTTCCTGTCACTGGAACTCGGAGATACTGAGAAGCCTTGAGAGAGAGACAGGGAGCTGACGGAGGGACTGAGGGCTTTCAACAACCACAAGGGTCATTTACACACAATCTCTCTACATAGACATCAAGGAAATCTTAATGAAGATAAAATTATAGAATAGTTAGTCAAATAAACTAAAGTCAGAATCCCCGAGATCAGTAAGAAGCTCTTATTTAAGGTTGATTTGCTTCTCCATGAAATGGAGATCAATGTACATCTAAACTCATAGCGCCCCCCTGGTGGTCCTGAGTACAGCTTTTGGTTCTAAAGCCCCCTGAAGAGACATAAACACTCTTTTCTTTTTTTCCCTTCCCCTTTATCCAACGTATAATCGTGGACACTTCCAGCATAAGCACTATGTGCCTTTTTTCAAAGGGTGTTTCCTCTCGGGTATTTCTGATCAAGTGACCCCCTCATTCTGCTCCTTGGCTATAAATCCCCAGCTCTCTTTGCTCTATTCAGAGGTGAGCCCCATTTCTGTCTCCCACTGCAAACCCCCTATTGCAAGAGCCTTGAATGAAGATTTTGTCACCATCTTAGCAAGTGTCAGAAGACCTTATTCTTTATAAACAGAGACAGAAAATGAAAGAAAGTTCTTGGATTCTCAAAACTATACTGACAGAATACAGGCTGATGAAAGTGCTCAGACTATAGCATGTGCCACCCTTCAAGGAAAAGGAAGGGAAGATCGAAGTTTAAACAACAGGCCCAGGGGTTGTGGTCTGAGCCGCAAAAGATTATCCCCAGATGAAGAAACCTCATGGAGTTTGACTGGATGGATTTTAAAGTTGATTCAGGCTGGTGAGTCCTTCTAGCTCCCTTTTTATCTCTTTTGGAATGGAAATATTCATAACTCTTGTCATATGCCTGCCCTGCAGTTGTGAAGATAACTTGTTTTCTGTTATCACAGGTGGGCAGATGCAGGATTTACCCCAGGATGGGTTGTAGTCAAAATCTCACCCATATCTGATTTAGATGAATAAATTTAGGACTTTTGAGTTGATGGTATTTGGATAGATTTTGGACTTGATTTAATGCTTTAAGCATTGGCATTTTGAGACATGTCCAAAGTGTTAAATATAATTGACCTGTGGGTGGGTTGTAATTCTTTGAGGGCAGAGGGTGGACTATGGTTGTGTGAGTTATTCTTTGAATCTGTGGAAGGTATTTTTTATGGCAAAAGGATCTTCACCCAATTTGATTAATTTAGAGACCCTGAGATCCAAAGTTTTTCCTGGATTATTTTGATATGTAGTCACAAGTGTTTATATCAGAGGCAGGCAGAGAGAGATTAGAATACAGAGTAAGAAGCAAACAGTGTGACCACTGATGTAAGGTAATTTCCTCCAGGCTGGACGATGGAGGACGGGGCTGTGAGGCAGGGGATGAAAGGAACACAGCTCTAGAAGCTGGAAGAGGCAAAAAAAAAAAAAAAAAACAATGGACTCTCCCTGTCTGAGTCCATTTGGGCTTTTATAGCAACATACCACAGCCCAGATAGCTTAGAAATAACAAGAATTTATTTCTCACAGTTCTGGAGGCTGAGATGTCTAAGATCAAATTGTCAGCATGTTCACCTTCTGGGGAGGGTCCTCTTCCCAGGTTGTAGCTTGCAAGTTCTTGCCGTGTCCTGATGTGGTGGAAGGGACAAGTGAGCTCTCTGGAGTGTCATTAGAAAGGAGCCAATACCACTCATGAGGCCTCCACTCTCATGAACTAAGCACCTCAGAGTGATCCCACCTAGTAAAACCATCATCTTTGGAGGTTAGGATTTAACAGATGAATTTTGGCAGGACACACATATCCAGAAAATAGCACTCCCCTGGAGACTCTGGAGAAAGTGTAGCCCTACCCCCACCTTGGATTCAGGACACTGAAACTGATTTCAGGCTCCAACCTCCAGACTGTAAGAGAAGAAATGTGTTGATTTGAGCCCAAGTGTGTTGTAATTTGACACAGTGATCATGGGGAAGTGGTACAGGCTGGCACGTGAGTCTCACATTATCAAGGGTCCCCACATGCTGCTCCCTATTGTGTGGTGACCATCAGCACTTCCCAGGGACAGGGACTCTCTCAGGGCTGTGGTCTGTGTGGACGTACTTCTCCAGGGACTCAGCACTGAAGGAGAGGACTGAAAGAATGATGTGCTGATGTAGACTGTGCTTGAACCTGGCACACCTCTCCACCCATGACTTTGTCACCATGTGTTCATGATTGTCCTACCAGAATGTCATGTGTATGACGCTGGGCCAGAGACTGGGAAACAGAATCCATCCTTGGCTAGCATATCCTTATTTTACCAAAGCATAATAACAGTTTTCAAAAACAGAGTGAAATTCAGAGAAGTTTTAGGGAGAGCTCTACAGTCCAAGAATCCCAAATCTGATGCCAACCAAATATTCCCAGATGATCCCACAACTAGCATTTCCAAAGAACAAAGGGACTCATTATCCCCACTGGAAAACATGAATAAATGACAACAGTCTTTTGGTAAAATCATCTTCCTGTATCTTTCTCAAAGAGCGCTTGAGATCTTAAAACCTTTGTGAAAAGAGTAGTGTCCCCATGAGAACATCAGCCTTTGTCTCAGATTCCTGACTCTTTGGTCTGAGGAGTCAGGAGAAGCATCATCTCTGCATCTCCTCAGCCCAGCACAGCTGCCCTCTCCCTCAGGGTCCTGACACACTCAGGATGTGGGTTATCACACTGTGTCTCTCGCACAGGAATACATGGCCATGTTCTCAGATCTCAGACTGCTCAGCTCTGTGTAGGCTGTTCTCGTGGACGTGTCCCTGGTCATGATGACTCTGTCTTGCAACTCCTGTGCAAAGCTAGCACCACCACTGTTTGTGTTGATCCATCACATCCGCTGAAGCACTTGTCCAGGGGCCTGTCGCACCCAGCTCATATAGTATTCAGTGAAGGTATATCCAGAAGCCTTGCAGGAGAACTTCAAAGATGCCCCAGGCTTCCTCATCTCAGCCCCAGACTGCAGCAGCTGAACCTGGGAGTGGACACCTGTGGAGAGGAGACATGAGTGGATGGCATTCCCCTTCACTGTTTCCAGTCTCCTCCTCACCCCAGGGAGTGGGGAGACCCTAACCTGTAGCCACTGCCACCAAGAAGAGGATTCTCCAGCTACAGACCATGGTGAGGGGCTGTGCTCTCAGGGCTTCTGTAGAGGAGGGTTGGTTGTTGGGTGATGCTCTTGGGGCACAGACATATCTATATTTAGCTCAGTAAACCTCAGATCATTT